GGATGCGACATGTGACTAGAAAGGGGGCGGGGTCAAATTATACACCTCATTTAAAGAAAAAGACTTAAGAACCACATCAGATCTGCTCATTCAGGAAGAGACTTCTTTACAATTCATCTTTAGGGAGCGCATCATCCTCACCCTCCTCTTCTTCCTCTGGAGGTTCTTCTGTATGATCATCCTCCTCTGGCTCATCCTCATCTTCGTCCTCTTCATCTTCCTCATTATCATCCTTTTTGCTCTTTTCTTCCTCTTCCCGCTTTTTCCGTTCTTCCTCTTCCTGCTGGTCCTTCATTTTCTTCTCTGGTCCCTGAAACATAAAAATCGATGTTGGTGAGAAACGTTTATTATCTTCTGTGTTAATCTAACATTTAATCAAAGGTATATAGAAAATCAACACTCAATAACAGCCATAGTTTTATTACCTTTGTCGCACCCCATGTATCTGTACCAAATTTCTCAGCCTCCTCGACATCATCGGTGATCAAAAAGTTGTCAAAGATTGTTCCAGATTTTACCTGTAAAAAAAATATAAAGAATGAATAAATAAAAAAATAAGTAAACTAGTTAAAGAATGGAAAAATAACCAAATTTGCAAAAAATTGTCACAAAAACAGCCCCAAATATGTAACGGTGATTAGCAGAATTGAAAACAAATGAAGTTCTGATAGGACTGGTTTAATTTTCACCAGAGAAAAACCTGCATTTGAACTTCATTTGCGATGCTAATTTAACAATAAACCAATCTAGACCATACCTGCCAAAGATCCAGTCCCAGAACACCAATGCTGTCAAACTTATAAATGGCGTCATCTGCCGCGTACTCTGGGTTGTCGATTTCAGGATGAACCCAGGTGCCTTTGTAGGAGGGGTTGTCAATCTGTTTGGGTTTCCACTCACCCTACATAAACAGAACTTTGTTAGTTGGTCTCTTCACATGGAGTTGGTTAATGCCTTCCTAATTTGAAGTCGCTCTGGACAAAAGCATCTGCTAAACTACGAGATGTAAAGGATTAACTGATTCCTACATAATGAGCTATTACTTTGATTGAGAAGCCATCTTAAGTTGATTGAACCAATCACTAATACAGTCATTTCAGAAAAGGTCTAAAACAGGGGTGTCAAACTTATTTTAGCTCATGGGCCCATGATTAAAATCTATTCCCAAGTGGGCCGGACTGGTAAAATCATATATATATATATATATATATATATATATATATATATATATATTTTTTTTTTTTTTTTTTTTTTTTTTTACAATCAACATAAAAACATTTAACTGGAGACATGATCTCACGGCAAGTCGTAATTTGTTTTATTTAGTGGCTAATTCATATGAATACAATCTCATTCGTACAATTTAATACGATTTGCTTATCCACCAATGATGTTTAGGTTTAGGGGTGTGGTTGGGTGCCACGCCTCCTTTTTTATATCGTACATTAGCCACTAAACTGACTTAACGTTTAATTGTTTTCTTGAACACCTCAGTGTGGTAAGGCAGGGCATAGATGTGGTCTTTCTCTTGGAGAACGCTGTCACACTGCTGCTGATTCAGGCATCTGGATTGGATGAAATGAACATTTTGCAATAGTTTGCGCCATTCAGTGAACACAATTGGAACAGCGGTTTCTTTTATTGAAAAATTGCATTTCATTTTCATACTTTACAGAATCATTTTGCGGGCCACATTAAACCCATTTGCGGGCCTGATCCAGCCCGCATGTTTGACACCCCTGGTCTAAAACAACCTGAAAATCTTGACCAAGACTGTTAACCTTGCTCAAGAACTTCTAAAACACAATTCAACCAACTTACTTTATACTTTAAACTCTAAACCCTCTGAATGCAGGGTAGATTTCAATGGTCTCCCAAGTGCCAAATCATAAACCATCATTTGTGATTTGACAACTAGACCAAACTGACCACTTTGAAGCAATTTATGGCATCATGTTTGGTATGAAATAGAATCAGGAATTGTCATTGAAGATAACTTGAAGAAAAGGCCAGATAAAAGTAGCTTTATCTGTTCTCAAGCACATAAAGCTCGTTTTAAACAATTAACCAACCAAACTGACCACTTTTAAGCTACTTGTGATTTTACACATTAGGAAGATCTTAAAATATTAGTATATTCTATATCTGCTCATGAGATGGAATCATTAAATCACTCTTATTAGCTCAATGAATGTCCGAAATTAATTAGGATTGACCCATAATGCTTCTACCGGGAGCCCACACTACAGGAAGTTGTTTTATTTGTCTCCCAGGAACCCAAAACTGCTCCAAAATAAGGATGTACAACCACTCTGATCGTAAGATAATAATGTCAATTGCTCTCAAAAACTCACAGAAAGGTCATACCTACTTGCAATTGAACCCTAATACTGGGCGTACATGGTGCAGTTTTTGTAGTTGTACAAGCTTTTAAATTATTTTATCCCATAAGAAGTGGTGTAGAAATCGTTGATACTCATATACTTTGGGCTCATCGCATCTGAAAGGAACTTACGAGATCATCACACATTTAATTTTTTTAAATTCAGAATCTGAATTCATGTTCATGTTGCATTAGTGTTAAACAAGCTGACTTGTCAATTTTTATGAAGGTGACAAATCAGGAGGACAAATTCATAGATCACCGAGCACTAGCGCTGTAGGATACGCAGGATACAGGGTTTTCAGAGATGATCATTTACAGCAGACGAGGCTTTATAATTCATGTTCAGAGTGACCAGGCGTACCTACTGCTGTCCAGATGTTCAAAAGGAATATAGGTGTTCTGTAGCAAACATTTAAGGCTTGTATAAATAGTTATTATACGTTTTATTGTGCATGTAACTGGCGTGCAATTTCTTGCGATTGCTTCAGAATTCACCAAGTCATGAAAACGTGTTATAGGTCACTGTATCCGAACGATTTTCACAAACTCGCTTGTGACTTGTGGGTGGACATAAAATCTTCCGACCATCAGATTGTGTATCGTGTACGCCCAGCTTAAACCTCCAGGTAGCAGTAACATTTGCAGGAAGATCAGTTTAGACTATATAAGTCATATGGAACAAATAAAAATCTATCTTAAATTCGTAACATAGGGTAACCTATCATCTTATTGAATCGTCAGATTTTGTGATATTCATCACATATGAGAGACTTTCAGGATATCAGATGACCCAGCAAGTGTTTTTTTTTTTTTGAAAGATGTCTAAATAGGCATGGGACGATAACCATTTCAAGGTATTCTGCGGTTTGGAAAGGTCAAGGTTTTAAAACAGCCAACATTTTTTGTAATACCGTTCCTAAGGTACGTGTAGTTTTTTAATTTAATAAATTTTTTTTAGGACAACAGTATCTCCAGCAAAAAAGGTCTCCAAAAATGCTGTTTTAAGTTGGAAATGTGTTTTTGAAACTGATGAAGACTGCAGAAGTCAATGATTTAATTAAATTTGGCCTGACGTGTTTACTGCTCCAAAATATCACAAAATAAAATGTATTGGTGTTAAAAAAAAGGAAATTTTTTTGTTTTTTTTACCCAGACATTTAAAATAAATTTTAGAGCAGTAATCACACAGCAATATTTTTATCCTAGGTTATCATACTGTCAGAATCTTATATCAGCCCTTGCCTACGTCCAAACAAAGTCGTTTTGGCTTAAACAATGCTAAATTTGGACTTTCAGGAAAAATCTAATAGACGTCTACAAATCGGCCAAATCTAGACTAGTCATCAAATAAACCGAAATAAGATGACTACACATATAAAGTCTGTCTATTTGATGACTAGTCTAGTTTTGGGCTATCCGTCTATTAGATTTTCACTGACAGCCCAAGTTAAGCCTTGTTTTAGCCAAGCTGTCTATATTTACATGTCTATTAGACGTATATTAAACGCAAAATTGTTTGCTGGGGACCTATATCGTGATGCTATTTGTCATATCGGCCAGCCCTGGTAGAAAGTGATGTTAACTGGCTCCCCAAGTGCCCAAAAACCATTAAACTCAAGCAATCTGACCACTCGGAGTTTAAAATAGTAAGATCAACTACTTGAGGACTGTCATTTTATACCTTGTACTCTGGGTTTGGGATCATTGCAGGTTCCCATTCTCCATCCATGTCTTCATCCCAGTCGTCTGGTTTCTTGGCATCAGGGTCAGGGATATTCTCAGGTTTGTCCCAATCCTATAATGCAGGGATTTAAAGTCTTAATACACCACTGGACTCATATCTTAAGTATAACTTTTTGAAATATCACAACATGCCTCGGGTTTAGTGTCTTCAGGATCGTCGATTTTCGCCCTGTCGTCCCAATCATCTGGCTTTTTGGCCTCTGGATCCTTGATCTTTTTGGGAGGAAGGAAATCCCAGTCTTCCTCCAAGGAACCCGATTCCACTTTCTCATTGTCGATTTTCACTTCATAAGTTTGGTCTGGTCGCAGAATCAGTGTGTACAGGTGTGTGAGTTCATCGTCCTGATGGCCCAAAGCAAGAGATATTAAATTATAACGGCTGTAAGGAAATCTGACAAGACATTTTGATTATTTATTATAACATGCCTTGCATTTGATGTCTTTCTTGATTAGGTGGTTTTGGCCTTTGTAGTTGAAAATGACGTGGACTTTTTTGGTGCTGTAGCCACAGATGTCAGGCCCTATGACAAAGATTGAAAGTAAAACACAGTTGGTGAAAGTGAAAGTAAAATTTAAATATTGTTTTGCTTTGTGATTTTTTTTTTTTTGGCATTTTATATATGAATACATTAATTATGACTTACCGAACATGATGTAATACTGCGATTCACCATGCATTTCGGTCTGGTCCATCTCGGCGGGGAAGACTTTCACATACCCACCGCCACAGTCGATCTTCTGCTCGTGTTTCACCGTAAACTGGATCACTAATGTTTTGCCCTCATTGCTAAATGAATCAAAGCGACTGGATAAAGCATAAAACCGAGCATCTTGACTTGTTTGCAGACCTTGAGGGGAAAAAAATAAATACAATTTAAGTCAAATTAAGATATTTGCATAAGCAGTTAAGCTCTTATAAAAGAAGCTGTGACCGCCGACCTTTATCAAGCTCAGCATCACCGTAGAATTTCCCTGAGGTCAGTTTCCATTGGCCGTAGTCGGACTTGTGCTTGGATTCCACCCACCTGCTTTTCCAGCCATCTAGAAAGCAAGTTTACGAATATAGTAAGTATGCACAACATTATTTATATTTTTAAATATTGATTAAAATGTTCGGCCTCTTTTAATTCTGTCAGGAACACTTTTTAAAGGCCTTCATTCTCTTATGAATATACTATTAATATGCATTTTAAACAGTTTATATTAATATTATGATGCTTAATGTCTTATGTAATAGAGGTAAAGTTGGTTTTATATTCACACATTTGTTCATTTAGCAGTCTATATATTGTTTACTATGTTACTTTGAATATTCTATCGGAATTAGCATGCAAGTGTGACTTGAAAACAACATTAACACTTTATTTGACTGTGAACAATGTTGTACTTTGATAGTCATTGGCTGCTAATATGATTTCCCTATTTAAAATTTGCAATGAATACTTTTCTGAAATGATATTATTAAGGGGAATGTCTGAAAATCCGAATATAAAACCAACTTTACTTCTATTCTTATGTACTCTGATCGGATTAACCGTTTTGTTTTAAGAGTTTTATTCTACTTCCTACTCTAAATAATACTGCTTTTCCTCCCCTTAGCTCCACGCTGTTGATGATAATACCAGCATGTCCTGGCTGAATTTGGACTACAAATCATTTAAGTCATGCAAATTATGGCAAGTAAAGCAGAACATGTATACATATTTAGCATCTCATTGTTGCTGTTATACAACAAGAATCATTTTATGGTCAAGAAAGTGAACTGAAACCAAAACCCAAGACTTTGATTCAGAAGTCATTTCTAGAAACGTGATATTAATGCATGTGTTAGTAATCCAAAATCATATTCATATTAAAAATCGTGTTCATTATATTATTTTAACACAACATAGGCTGTATAACACGACTGGGAATGCAAATAAATACAACATATATATAAAAAAGTGGAATTTTTGACAAGCTTCGATGACTAAAATGAAAGTAATTATGCTCAATACATCATCATCGTCGCATTTCCATAACAAACACTTTATTCTGAATCTGAAATAGTGAAGAATGTGTCATGCACGACCATAGAAGTGGAATTCAGCCTACCTCCGTCCAGAAACTGCTCTTTAAAATAGACGTCTGCGTGCGCAATGAAGGCCAGTGCAGAAATAAAGCACACTGCAGCAGTGATCCGCATCTCTGCACGGTTAAAGGACCTGCTTTTGACGAAGATCCTGATATAATAATGAACGCCGCTCGAGCTAATGGTCACTAAAATATGGCTCAGTAGTGTTCCTGCACAGATGGCCGAGGATCATTGGCCGGACGCGCAGCCAATCGGAGGAGACCACGAGTGAGGAGTCCAAGAGGAGTCAGCGCGGTGGGCGGGGCTTCTGCGACGTACGTGACGTGACGCAAAAGGAGGAAGTTTGTTGAAATGAAAACAAGTATAGTGAGATTCTTGAGTTAAAAAACAGCTCCTTTCAATCGGCTTAGCAAAGTGTGGCTTTTTATGAGCACGGTAACATATTGTATGTGAAATGGTAAATGTTACACTGTTAAAACTTAATGTATACTATTAGCTAAAAATAGCTAAAATACAGTTAGCATATTGATTTTGTTTTGCCTTGTAGCTCATGGCCCTACAAAATAAAAATAACCTGAAAACAACATATTAAAATGGGCTTAATAAATAAATAAAATGACGGGAAGGCCTAGTAACCTTATGGTTTATGATGGCGTTTTTACAAATGCAAACGGGACAATATGACATAAAAAACCTCACTTATAATAGCCTAGCATAGACATACTGGAAAGAAATTCACAAATTAGTTCAGAAGATTTTAGGTAAACCTTTTGCTCTTTCTCCAGCTGTTTATCTTCTGAATTGTAAAACTGCTCTACAACTTAGTTATGGACTAGAATCTGTGTTACACTTTTGTACATATCTTGCAAGAAAATGTATTCTTTTGCTGTGGTCCTCTCCTAACATTCCTTCTGTCAATATGTGGATAAATCAGGTTGCCATTTTCTTACCCTTGGAAAAACTGACTTATGACTTGCGTCAGAAATCTGATGATTTCTGGCATATCTGGAATCCTCTATGGGAGTTTTTGGAGAATGTATCTTGATTTTTATTTAATTTTTATTTTAAATTATAAATTTTTTGTTAATTTTACCCTTCACAAAAGACTTGAATTATTAGCAGATGGACAATTGTATAATAGATTGCTATATTATTGTATATGATGACATGAGACACCTATACCACTGTTCTGTCATTGTAAATCTTTAAATAAAAAAATAAAATAAAAATAATAATAATAATAATAATAGCCTAACATAATATTTTTATTTTTACCTTTACAATGATGAAAAACGTTTTATAGCCTATTGAGTTGCGTGTTAGCCTATCCATGACAAATTTTGACAAATTTTCACGGTAATAACTGAATTTAGGTATCTTTCTTAGGTATTTTTCTGGCTACACTAATGCCATCAAATGTATCTAAATATTTTTTTTAAATGACTTTAGATTGTAACTTTTTCCTAACACTGATGTTGGTTGGGTAATAGGCTACGTGAAGCGTAATGACTCAGTTAAGCTGATTTCACTATATTTATTTACCGGTTATACGAGACCGATATAAACTAACCGAGGGTTAGCTTGCATGTGTGGGCATAGTTTGACATCTTTACCTACAACTTTAAACATTTACAGGCTTATTATTTGAAATAAAATGGAAAGAAATATGGAGGATAAAATAGGATTTAAAGCACTCGTTTCCCGCTGAAGCCATGATCTGTCTGCGTTAATAAACGGTATCGTTGCACTACCTTCATTGAAAAAAATCAGTAATTGCAAAACTGTGCATATTATTATTACTATAAACAGTATATTACTGCCTTAGGTCAGTAACTTAGGCAGCAATGCAAAGTAATAATAAATGTGAATAAATAGCCTAAATAAAAAGAACAAGATGGACCAAAAGTCTAGTGCCCCCCTATGCGATTAAAATGCCCCCTCAGTTTTAACATCCTGGCGCCGGGCCTGTATACTATTAATGTAATATTAATTTTCTTTTTGGCTTAATCCTTTTATTAATCGGGCCGCCACAGGGAAATGAACCACCAACTTATCCAGCATATGTTGTACACAGTGGATGCCCTTCAACTGCAACCCATCACTGGGAAAAATCCACACACATACACTACGGACAATTGAGCCTACCCAATTCACCTATATTACATGTCTTTGGACTTGTGGGGGAAACTGGAGCACCCTGAGGAAACCCACGCCAACACATGGAAAACATGCAAACTCCACACAGACAGAGGCTTGAACCAGCGACCTTCTTGCTGTGAGGCTTACATGCTACCCGCTGTGCCACCATGCAGCCCTTAATATAACATTTAATATTTCATATATAGTATCTTCCCATTTTCATATACAGTATCTTCTTCAAACCATTTTTTATTGGTTTTGGCACATGTTGAAATAGCAGGGAATGAGGAAGTAGATAAGATGGAAACACCATCAAAAAAAGAGAAAAACATATCAACTATAATGTAAGCATGACTAAAGGAAAAGGATTAATTAAATATGAGACATACGCAGAACATATGGGACAAAGAAACAGAAATGTATCTATAATATTAAATACTAAGAAATGTGTGAACAAACGAAATGTATAAAGACCAGGAGGAAGGACGTGATTGTGACAGGACTGCAAAATTTGATAAAAAAATGTAAATGATTATACTGCCACGGTGAATGCAGTTATACTCAATGCAGGTGTTATTTGGTAGTTTGGTCACTGATTTGGCAATCGTCATGCATCATCAGGGAAATGATTTGGATTTCCGCTTAGTAAAAAACTATTTAGCTGCATCCCAAATCGCATACTTATGCACTATTCTACGCCATTTTGTAGTATAAATAGTGTAAGAAGTGCGTTCACACTAAAAACGCTAAAAATATTAAGTGCACTTTAATTACCTGGATGATGCACTCATTCAGCCGCTAAAATGAAGTGTGGAATGATGGACACAATGAGCTGCGTCCCAAATGGCACACTATACACTATGCACTCATGCACTATGTACTTATGCACTTACACACTCAACAGCATAGTATATGTATGTAGTGTCGTCCCAAATGGAGCACTAATGCTTTTTTACGAAGCGGAAATTCAAACCGTTTCCCTAATGACGTTTGCCAAATCAGTGAAATAAACGACCGAATTATCAAATAATGCCTGCCGTGAGTGTAACCGCATTCACCATCGGGAGGCGCTATAATCACTCTCGTAGGAGAATTTTGCTTTCACCATCCAAAATAAATAAAGTTATCCACCATGTGCGCCTGATAGCTCCGCCCCTTCCGCTACATGAGCAAACCTGCGGTCGTTGAGTGCGTGAAGTGTCCATCATTCCACACTTCATTTTAGCGGCTGAATGAGTGCATCACCCGGGTAATTAAAGTGGTGAACACACTACTTACACTATTTATACTACAAAATGGCGAAGAATAGTGCATAAGTATGCGATTTGGGAAGCAGCGAATGCACTCAACAACCGCAGGTCTGCTCACGTAATGGAAGGGGCGGAGCTATCGGGCGCACATGTTGGATATTTTAATTTATTTTGGATGGTGAAAGCAAAATTCTCTTACGAGAGTGATTATAGCGCCTCCCGGTGGGGAATGCGGTTATACTCATGGCAGGTATTGATAGTTTGGTCATTTATTTTACTGATTTGGAGCCCGTCAAACGTCGTCAGGGAAATGGTTTGAATTTCCGCTTGGTAAAAAAAACTGTGTGCCATTTGGGACGACACTACATACATATACTATCCTGTTGAGTGTGTAAGTGCATAAGTACA